TATGCATTTGATGTCTGTTTTATATAGAAAGCATAATAATAGTAGCTTGTAAAAACCTTATTACTTACACAAATTTCCTTTTCAGAGATTTTTTTATAGTCATTATAGTCACTTTCATGAAATGAATACCACTGCTCATCGCACTTTATAAAAGAGAAATCTACAAATCAATTATATTATTATGATCAAATTCATAATCATGCCATCCTAATAATTTGCTCAATTTACTCACAGTATCCACATTCTAATGATCCATAATGATTAATCACTGCATATAATTTATATTCTATATCATCATGAGCATTTGGGTAATATTCTTGAATAGGAAATCTGTCATGCATGACATTATATATACTTTCATAAGTTATTTGAACTTACTTGCAACTGAACTCAACAGGTTTCTCAATTTTTGTCATACCACTAAAAAGCATAAACACTATTTAAACAATAACAAAATATATATTACTACCTTTCAAGAAAATGAAACCGTTTTAAATAAACTACTAGTATTGGAGGTAGTTTCAAAATATCAGCTTTTCTAAAATGCTTGCAGTTATCATGACAGTTTTTACACTTTCTGCAAGCAGTATAGAAATTAATGCATCAAAATTTTGATAGATAAAATACTTTGAGTTAGATAATTGTTCTTCTCTCATGAACAATCTCAAGCAACTTGTTAAAGTCAATCTTGATTCTTTTCTTGGCAATGGTAGTGATAAAGGAAACAGCGAATCATAAGATTTCTGAGCCTACACATATTTACAGCACAATATAACAAAATATTCAAAATTGAAACAAATATACTTACGTATGAGCATTTGCCACATCTGAGTGTAGTCTTTACTTGCGCATGAAAAATATTAATTATTTCAGACTTATCCCTAAGCTCAGTCAATTTTTTCCAAGCCGCTGCTATTTCCTAACACAACTATTAATAACATTTGATTGCACTTAATGTATGCACCTCTTCAGAACTGCATTTGCTTTCATCCACTTTCATGTCAACATAAGGTTTTTCACCTGTTACTTGATTAAATTCTTCATGTAAGCCATTAATCAACACACTGATTAACTCTTGAGCATCCTGCTGCTCTATAGCTAACTACAATAATTACCAAAAATAAAATACAAGTTTAGTTTAACATGTCTTAACCTTCAAGTATTCTGGTTGAGACATTATAATTTCTGGCACAGACATTTTATCATTTAATAACTTATAAAAAAATAAAGCTAATTTTTTATCTGATCCTGCATGACCATTATATTTAATGTATTCGAGTACATATTTCTTTTTACCTCTACTCTTGACAATAAAACTTTTCAAAGGTTTTGTATGAATTAAACATTGAAGAACTGAAGTTATAGCAGATAAATCTTGAGGCTCATCATTTTTTGTTAATACTCTGAAAAAACAATATCAAACAATCAGTTCAAAGGCTTACTCCTTTGTTTTTTCAGATCCATCTTTATTATCAGTAGTTGTAAGTGTTAAACTTAATGCTAATACAAATTTTAAGTATTATAACAGATATATATTACTTGGAACTATTTCTGCTTTGTGACATAATAGTTGTGGAGAGTCAGATTCATTTACCATGCTCATTTCTTGTGTTAAAAATCAAACATAATGGCTTTTTCATCATCATTACTAACCAAAAGTGGCTGTTGCGTTTGGGGCTGCATCTATAATATCAACACCCTGTCCAACATTTGGAACCAGTTTTATATCAGACTGCATCATTTTAATGTCCCCATCAGTACAATGTAATTTCTTTTCCATCCGCTGATAAAACAAAACATATGCATCTGAGGACTACAAACAGAGGAAACAATTTTATCACTCATTTTAAATAAATATACAATAATTTCATCTTCTGTTATTTTTTTGCATATTCTATCA